CGAGCACAAGCACAAGCATCACCACCACCATCACAACAACAACAACACCAACCCCACCACCACCACCATCCCCACCATCATCATGTCTTCAAACAAGGACATGAGCAAGGGAGTAGAAGACGGCGTTGTGGAGCAGCCCGGTGGCAGCCGCAAAGTCCGCTCCCTCAACGACGAGCGCTCCAGCTTCGTGGCCACCACCACCACCAGGGATCTCTCGGGGGCCATGGAGGATATAGCAAAGCGTTCCGAGGCGCATGACGACGATGATTGGGTCATCTATGCCAACAATGCTTCACGCATGTTGACAGGTGGACTCCTGCCGCCGCCGCCGGCCCCTCCCAGGGATTTGCTTGGCATCCCAGCCAGTCCCCGGACTCCGGCCTCAGTCCAACGCGGAGCATTCCGTGGACAGGCCCGGGACGCTCGGGGGTCGCAGACGCCACGGTCAGGCCAAGGCCGCCGAGGGCAAGACCGCCGAGGGTGGCAAGTCCAAGGACAGAACTCCCGTGGACAAGACCGCCGCGGCCAATCACGCGGGCCCAGCCGTGGTGGCGTTCAAAAATCTCGCCGTCAGGGGACATCGTCTTCTGCTCGTAGCTTGGGGGCCAGGCTCGGCCAGGACCCTTCAATCATACAAGATGCCAACAAGTGGCGTCAACAGGAGGTGTCTCGAGGTCGCGACACGGCCCGGGCAGCCCAAGAGAAAGCTCAAAATGAGCTCTTTTGCGGCAATTGCCTCAAGCATGGACATAGAGTCCGTGACTGTGTCCATCCGGCCGAGGACGGCTTTGTGCACGGCTGTCCTGTCTGCAATAAAGCTGACCATGAGTCAGCTAAAGGTTGCAAGCAGACATGGCCGCAACGTCTGGAAAGGAAGCTGGGTTGGGCGATTGAACACCGCGCCAACCGTCCTACTCTGGCCGCGTTCTCCAACTGGGCAAAACTATTCATGGAGGCCAGTGAAAAAGGTGACATCACCTTGCCATCAAAATTCCCGTGGACGCCATTTTTCGCCCAGGAATTGATGGAGCGCGAGACTCAGCCTTGGACAGATTTTGACTATGTCGCAAACGACTCGTCTAAACTGCCCTTGGATCCTATGACGGCCGGCCAAGAAACCGTCATTGAGCATGCGGAATCACTTTTCCAGATTCCACTCCAAGTCATTGGCAGTACCGGTGGTGACCCATGGTACCCACGACGGAAGGAGGATGAGGACATGGCCGACCCCCGCCCTTTTCACCGTCCTGCCGGTGACAAGCTGGATGAAAGGATGGATGAAGACTTGTCTTGAAGTCGAGTCAAGTCCTGTCTGCGGCCGCAAGGTGAGTGCAAGCAGTTTCAAACTTATATCTGGTGCAATTGACTGACTTGTAGTGGATTAGGCCAATGCAATTTGGTGATTTCTTCCTGGGGGAAGGGGAGGGGGGGGGAAGATTGTTTTTTTGTGATTTTGGTTGTCTTTTTTTTTTCTCGGGTTGGGAATGGGGGCGGGGGCCTCTAATATAATTTTGCAGTTCCGTGGCCAATCTTGATCCAACTCTGTGTGCATGTATGTTCCCTACACGTTCCACGAGATGTATTCGCAGCAAACACGGCACCACCCGCGCCAGTCCGCACTATCCAAGTCTCCCTTTGTTTGCTGCCAGTCTCCGTGTCTTGCTCTGTGTCTTGGTATTACTTTTTGTGTCTGATGTGCGTAATCCGGGCGAGTCTTTGCCGCTTCATCGCTGCCTGCTTCTATTACATACGCGGCGTGTCTTTTAAATCATGTACTGCGAGTATTCTTTTATTCATTGTTTTTTCGTGCAACACCCCATTTTCTGGGGTCAATAAACGGCTGCACAGCATGCCAAACCCCCGTGCCCTTTTCAGGTTCCGTCTTGGCCGCCATCCTCCCTACCTCCACCCTAGGAAAAAGACAAAAAAGGGGGTAGGGACGTCTTGCGACAGGTAAACTGATCTGAATAATGATCGCCAAGCGTGTCTCGGAAAGAACGGGAGATGGATGGCGAGGCAAAAAGGAATCCAAGGCAGTGACCATTCCGGCCTCCACCATGGAAACACCCATCCCTACGTCCGAGTACGCCCAGAGACCTTGCTTGCATCAATACTTTCCATCAGCATCTAGAAGAAGGGATGGACGCAAACCAAAGGTCCAAAAGAGGAGGAGAAAACACTAGAATTGACAGTGCACATGTGACAATTGCTCACAGCATGGAAGGGCCCCCACATCACGTGTTGCACCACATGCATGTCATTGTTGCTACGCCTGCTCCTTCCAGCTAGCTACGTATTTTCCTCTCTCACAAATGTCACCATGATCAAGCTTTTCACTTCTACCAGCTCTCTTGCAATACAGCACTTGTCGCTTGCATCACGAGTTGTGCCTTCATCGTAGACCCCTCGCGCGGTCCCTCCCAGCTCACCTGAAGGAACATGTCAAACCTCCTGCCTATTGTTGGGCTGACCGACGCCGCATCCAATTACCCGGTGGGAATCCACGGTACCAAAACTACAATGAGCATGAAATTGAATCGTTTCACGCTTCCCTGCATAGTTGCGCGGATGGGCTGGAATGTCCATGGGTGGGCCATGATTCAGTTCGCCTTTGGAACCCCGGGGCTCCCTTGGTAATGAGAGTCCGAACCCCAGGTTTTCCCACGGCCCAAGAGCTGCTTGCAGCAACAAGAGATAATAGAGCGCGTCTAGGCTTCCCTCCATCTGCCCGGTGTGAAGAGGCAGACGCACGATTCCCAAGGACCACCATGCCTACTTCTCCTTCTCAACCTGCGGCCGCGAATGGGGTCGGCATGGCGCCTCAAACCCATGAGGACGATTCCATCTCACCTCCATCTCTTGCCTCCATGAGCCGCCAGAGTACCTTTATCGCACCAAGAGTCCCATTGATCCCCGGATGGATGAAATTGACTCCTCTAGACCAAATCGAGAGTCGATTCATATTGCCATTGGTGCTGGTTTTCAACATGTCCTCACCGGCTCTTGGACGGCTCGTACTGCGAGACTTGGAGACAAGTCTTGCCAGCACCATCGGGGAGATGCCGTTTTTGGCGGCAAATGTCGTGCCGGACTGTGAAGAGCAGGGCACGATCCAACTGGAAATCTCGGACGACGCTGGAGTCTGGTTCCACTCCCAGGAGCTGCCGGAAATCGATTACTATGCACTTGAGCGCCGCGAGTTTCCGCCTGGCGAATTCCCCCTCCTGGCTTTGATGCCGGAGCCTCGCGTTCACCACGCAGAGCAAAGTCCCGTCCTCACTGTACTTGCAACGTTCATCGCCGGCGGACTGCTGCTGACGTTCAACAGCCATCACTCTGTCATGGACGGTGCCGGGATGCTCACCTTGGCCATGACGTTTGCAAAGCACATGGCGGCGCTGTCCGACGGTCGCTTCATCGCGCCCGGGGATACATTTCCAGAGGAAGCTCTCGACCGATCAAACGTGTTTGGGTGTGGCGGCAAGGAAGTCGGCGATTTCCCCAACTATCGCCTGAGTCAAACGTACCGATGCGCCATGGAACGAGAGCTGGTCGAGGCTGCCGTTTCCGGGCACCACCCCAGGCTCCCGCTGTTGCAGAAACTCAGCCTTTCGCACTGGTTCATCTCGGCGGAGTCGATGCGCGCCATGAGGGACGCTGCACTGCCGCCGTCCGAGGGACTGCCCTTGTTGACTGACAACACGATCCTGTGCGCGGTGCTGTGGCGTCACATCTCCCGAGCGCGTCGGCTATCGTGCCGGGGCATCGTTGCGAGCTCCTTTGTCAACACCGTCAATGTTCGGAGGCGGCTGGATCCCCCGCTGCCGTTGGAATATCCCGGAAATGCAGTTGTCCACGCGAAAACGTCGGCCGCCACCGCTGACGTGGAGTCGATCGAGCCCGGGATGCTGTACAAGATGGCCAAGCAAATCACCGACGCGATTGAATGGTGGACGTCGGAGCGAATTTGGGAGCTGGTTGGGGCCATTGAGTCCAGTGCAATGGTGAACAAGGTAGAGCCAAACATGGACAACTTCCAAGGTCCCGACCTCGAGGTCACCAGCACCGCGGCCATGGGAGACATTTATCGTGCCGAATGGGGTTCGGGGCTGGGGAGAATCAGAGCGTTGCGCTATGCGTACCTGCCCATCAAGGATGGCTGGGTCAACGTGTTGCCACAGAGAACGGATGCGGGACTAGAGCTGCTCATGTGTCTGGAGAAGAGTACCTTGAGGTTCTTGAGACAGGATGAAGAGTGGCTCCGGCTGGCCAGGGAGAGTCGATGAACCGATGCTCGCCTGGGTGTGAGCGCCTTCTCTCACTCTTGCTTTGAATGTCGCGCATCATCTATTCTCTGATGAACAGCGCGGCTGGCCAGTTTCAACCCTTTGACATCAACGATTTTGACGTCTGGCCATTACGTCATGTTTGCTTGTTCAACTGACAGAGGCAGCCTTGTCTGACTTTTGCGGCACCATGTATTACAGTATATTACGTTGTATTTTCATATTGTCAAGACGGAATGTGTTTCTTATTATCCTCCGTCTGCTGGAAACGATTTCTGCAGTCTGACAACAATAACATGCTTCCGCCCGACCTCGTGTCTGCTTTTTTCAGCTGAGAAACACCTAGTCCTGCGTTCTCATGTCAATGTTTCACTCTTCCATATCTCATTTGTCTCATTACCCCTGAATCAAGGCGCGATGCCAATATCAGGGGGGCTGGCGGTGCGGGGACCAGAGTCGTCTGTACCGACATCTCCTCGATCAGCAGTTGTCGTGTCTCGCAATGACACAACTAAAGCTGTGTCAGACAATACAAGTGGGACTGTTTCCTCCGCGAACAGACCGTCCTCCGCGTGACACTCTGTCTGCAACCAAATGTCAGTAGCGCTGCCTTATTGGCATATGGTATAATATGCATCCGCCCCAGCAGAGGCACATGTCGATTCGTTTTGGCAAACCAAACTCTGACAGAAAACTTGACAGTTACTACCCACAATGTCGGGCCGGCTCTCTTCCCATGCGAGCGGCACAGACGGCGATGGTCTCATGCCGATCGCCGTTGTGGGAATGTCCTGCCGCCTCTCAGGTATTGCCACGAGCCCGGAAGGCCTTTGGCAGATGCTGGCAAGGGGCTTAACAGGATGGTCAAGCAACGGGAGCAGCCGCTTCCAAATGAATTCGTTCTGGCACCCGCAGTCTGACTTGAACGCTTCGGTGAGTCGAGCTCTGCCATGAAAGCTGCCGCCGCCTCCTTTCCACTAACAGGCTATAGTTCAACGCAAGAGGGTTCCACTTGATCAAGCAAGATCCCGCATTGTTTGATAACTTGTTCTTTGGAGTCACCAGCATTGAGGCCAGGGCCATCGATCCGCAGCAACGAATGCTGCTTGAAGTAGCATACGAAGCGTTCGAGACGGCGGGAATCACGATGCAGAATCTCAAAGGTTCAGATACAGGCGTATATTGCGCGGTTTCACATCACGACTATGACAAGATCCTGGGCAGGGATCCCGAGTTGTCCCCAGGGTGAGATTCTTGACGTGAGGGCTTTTTTCATCAGATATTGACATTGGACAAGATACCGATTTACCGGAACTGGACCTGCGCTCGTTTCCAACCGCATTTCCTACGTGCTTGATTTACACGGGCCAAGTATCACTCTTGATACAGCATGTTCCGGTGGACTGGTTGCGGTTCATGAAGCCTGTAAAGCCATCCGGGCGGGAGACGTGCCGCAAGCACTAGTCGGTGGCACGAACCTGATTCTCGATCCAGACCAGGTCAATATCATGTCTTCAATGGAGTAAGTGCTCCTGAGCTCAAAGAAGAGGGACGGCGATTTAATTGTGCGACAGCTTCCTCTCTCCCCACGGCCGCTGCTACGCGTTTGATTCCCGTGCCGATGGTTTTGGAAGGGGTGAAGGCGTGGCTGCTGTCGTGCTGAAGCGCTTAGACATGGCCCTTGCTGACGGCGACCCAATTCGGGCTGTCATTCGTGGTAGCAGCGTTTGCTCAGACGGTCGCACGCCTGGAGTCACAATGCCATCTTCCGACATCCAGAGGAGAATGATTCAGAGAGCCTATCAACAGGCAGGCCTAGACCCGAGGGATACCACCTATGTGGAAGCACATGGTTCGTTTCTGGTTGCCATGCTTTGATGCAGAAGTGACTGACTCGGCGAACAGGAACTGGAACCAAGGCCGGAGACAAGGCCGAAGCGACTGCTCTCCATGAGACCTTTTGCAAGGCAAGGCAAAAGGGAAATAAACTGTTTGTCGGAAGCGTCAAGGGTAATGTGGGCCATACAGAGAGTGTGGCCGGATTGACCGGTCTGATCAAGACGGTTTTGATGCTCGAGAAAAAGATGATGCCCCCCAATGCCACGTTCATGAAACCAAACAGCGAGATTCCATTGGAAAGCTGGGGCATGGAAGTGCGTCTTCAGATTCTCACAGAAGCCCCTTTACTATCCTGTCAAGCTGGGACTGATGCATTGTGTGCAGGTGCCTAAAAGGATGCTCAAGTGGCCGGACAATGCCACTCGCCGCGCCTCAGTCAACAGCTTTGGGTATGGGGGTACAAACGCCCACGTTATCCTGGATGCGGCCGACGATTACCTCAACGACACGAAACACATGTGCCCCCCAGTCGATATTCGAGCTTGCGTGGGTAAAGTCAACGGAGACTCGGCAAATGAAGTGGCAGAAGTTACGGAAACAAGTAGTCTCGCCATGACCATAATTGTTTCAGACCCAACGGAAGCAGAACCGACGACGACGCACGTCCATGGCCATTCGACTCTACAACACAGGAGGAGCCTGAAAGCTTCACCCACCAAAGCCATGACGAGACCACGCCTCTTTCCCTTGTCCCACGATCAGGAAGGGGGCGTGGCGAAATTAGCGGCCAATTTCAAACGCTTCATCTTGGACAAGCTGCCTGATACGAATGAATCTCTGGATAGTCTTGCCTTCACTCTATCGGATCGGCGGTCTATCTATAGGTTTCGTTGGTGTGTAGCCGCATCCAGTCGTGACGAACTTGTGGATGGACTTGAACACATAGTCGAGGGCACGGATCGGGCCCTACAACAAGCTGAAGAGCGAAAAATATGCTTTGCTTTCACAGGTATAGTCGTGATGAGAATATGCAAACTTTTGCAAACAAGAGTCTAACACCACGTAGGTCAGGGTGCTCAATGGGCAGGCATGGGTCGCGAATTGCTGGCCGCATACCCTGTATTTGCCAAGTCCATGGAGCGGTCAGAAAGGTATCTCACCCACCTCGGTGCTGACTGGCGGCTTCTCGCCGAGCTGGATAAACCATGGGAAACGTCTCGAATCAACGAAGCCGCCCTGTCACAGCCTTGCTGCACCGCCATTCAGATTGGACTCGTCGACTTGCTCGAGACGTGGGGAATTCGACCTGCCTTGGTGTGCGGACACTCGAGCGGAGAAATTGCGGCGGCATATGCAGCTGGCATCATGACAGCACAGGATTGTCTGAAAGTCGCCTATTTTCGTGGCCATCTGGTGAAGCGGCTGATGGAGCAGAACCCCAAGCTTTCCGGCGGCATGCTTGCTGTTGGACTGTCGGTAGGCGAGGCGCAAAAATATCTTGACAATGACGCCACTTGCGGAAAGGTCGTCGTGGCGTGCGTCAACAGTCCTGCCAGTATCACCTTGTCCGGAGATGAAGCAGTGTTGAGCAGTATTCAAGAGACGCTCGCCGCCAGAGGCGTTTTCAACCGCAAGCTGGCGGTTGGCGTGGCCTACCATTCGCACCATATGAACATGATTCTGGAAGAATACCTGCACGCCATTCAGGACATCAAACCTTTACACTGCGGGCAGCATGTCCAAATGGTGTCTTCTGTGACGGGCAAGGCTGTTCAAGGCGAGGAGCTGAATGCGATGTACTGGGGTAGAAACCTGACATCTCCCGTCCTCTTCGCCGACGCTCTGGCCGAGATCTTTGACACGGCGCAAAAAAACGAAAAGCGAAGCAACATGCTTGCGGTTGTCGAGGTTGGCCCTCATTCTGCACTGCAGGGTCCCATCAAACAGACCATCAAGGCGTCCAAAACAGCGGGATCCATCAGCTATCACTCGGTCCTCTCACGGAAGCAAGACGCAAGTAGGACTGCCGTGGCCTTGGCTGCAAGTCTGTTCGTCAATGGAGCAACCGTCGATTTTGGTCGAGTCAACGATCCGCATGGCGACGCCAAAAAGAACGTCTTGACCAACTTGCCAACGTACAATTGGCATCACAATACCACGCACTGGGTCGAGTCCCGCCGGAGCGCTCAATATAGACACAGAAAATTTCCCAAGCACGATCTTGTTGGTGTGCCCAGCAGCGACAGCATACCCAGCGAACCGACATGGCGCAACTACATCCGCCTCAAGGAATTGCCTTGGCTCAAGGGCCATTGCATTGGTGGCAACACCATTTTCCCAGCCGCTGGCTATGTGACCATGGTTTTGGAAGCCCTGAAGCAACAAATCCTCGGTGGCGGAAACCCCTGGAAGAAGATGCGTATCAAATTTCGCCAAGTCCATTTTGGTCGGGCGCTCCTCGTTGCCGACGATTCTGTGGGCGTAGAGACATTCGTCACCATTCGACCTTTTACGTACACGGCACGAGAATCTTCGGCTTCGTGGAACGAGTTTCGGATATTTTCCGTGTCTGTCAATGGAGAATCAACAGAGCATAGTCGGGGTCTAGTGACTGCCATCAGTCCTTTGCCCAACCAAGACCATGAGAATATGACGGATGCCGAGTCTCTTGCGTTTATTGAACAAGTTTCCGAGAAATCTCGCATAGTACTCCCCCCGAAGCAGCTATACAAGGAGCTCAGAGACGTGGGTATTGAGTATAGCCACCCGTTCAATGGCCAAGAGCACATTCGAGCATCCGAGTCTGCATCGACCTGTCGAATCAAGATTCCAGATATCCAGGCTCTTATGCCTTCGAATTACCAACAACCTCATTGCATCCACCCAGCAACATTGGATGTCTGTTTCCAAGCTGCCTTCTCGGCCATGAAGGTCGGAGAACATCTTCGGGGTACATTTGTCCTCGGCGGGTTTGACGACCTTGAAATCTCGAGTGAGATTCCGTCTCAGCCCGGAAAGCACATGTCCGTCGCGGCATCTCTTCGAGGCCTTGGCCACTCTAATTTCGCATCCGATTCAGTCATCTCGAGCTCCGACGACGGAAAATCAGAAGTCTTCATCAAGATCAAGGGACTCATCCTTGCCAGGACAAGTGGACCATCTCGGCAGACTTCTTCACAGCATCTGGCTGGAGAATCCCTGTGCCATCGGCTGGAGTGGTCCCTTGACCCGACTTGCGCCGAGCCTCACAGCATCATCAAGCGTTGCCTTCTCGACTCTGACGTGTTGGTGGCTGGAAGAACGAGCTTGTGTGAGCAATACTGCCAAGCTGTCGTGGCAAGGGCACTAACAGAGCTCTCTCCCGACGACGAGGCAAAGATTACTGGCCACTTTTCTCAGTGGCTCCTGTGGATGAAGGCAATAAGCGCGGGAAGCTACCAGCCACTCCAGGTGAGCAACGCGCTCAACGACAAAATCAAGTCGCTTGGCATCTATGGCGAGGTCCTGGTGGACATGGCACCTCGGCTCGTAGGTATTCTTCGGGGAGACGTTGATCCCCAGGCACTCCTTCTGGAGAAGCAGCGTCTGTACCGGCTCTACACGCGCGACAACATCAAGAGGTGTCACAAGCAGCTGGCCGAATACGTCAAGCTTCTGCGATTCAAAACTCCCAATCTCCGCATCCTCGAGATTGGGGCTGCAACCGCAGCCGGATCGATGCCAGTTTTGGAAGCTCTCTACAGCAACAAGGACGTTAGAGGAGAAGCGAGGTCCGAGTCGTATACCTTGGCCTGTGCTCCGACAGCGTGCTTCCAGGACGCAGAAACGGAATGGGACAAGGCGCAGGAGTCTCTAGAGTGGAAGAGGCTTGACATGGAAATCTCTCCAAAAGAACAGGGGTTTGAACTTGGCTCGTACGACCTCGTCATTGCCGCCAATGTCTTGCATGCGACTCGCGAGATAAATGTCGCGCTGGGAAACATAAGGAGCCTGCTCAAATCAAATGGCAAGCTTGCTCTGATGGAGACGACAGCCCCAAAAATTCACGACGGAGTCGTATTTGGCATGCTCCCTGGATGGTGGCTTGGAGCCACGGACGGTCGGGTGCACTCACCACTTCTCGATGCATCTGGTTGGCGTGATAGGCTCGGCCATTGTGGCTTCTCCGGAATCGACTTTGAGATGCACGACTTCGACTCGGCCGAGGACCACCAGGTCAGCGTCATGGTTTCTTCAGCAACTAGCCATCCAGAACCATGGTGTTTGGGCATGCAAGACCCGACGAGAGGCGTGTCAACTCTAGAATCCGAGTTGCCAATCTCCAAATACCCAACAAACCTGACGGGCTCGGAAGGAAGCCCTCGGCAGACCATTCTTGTGATTAGTGACGGTAAAGAGAGCAGACTTGCAGACCATGTAGCCGACCTATTGACCTCTGTCGAGTCCAGCGTCCACGCTGAGAAGACCGCGTTGGCTGAGGCGCAGGTTTCGCCTGGTCAGCTGGCCGTGGTGCTACTCGAGGCAGTCCATCCGTTCCTGGCGACATGCTCTCAAGCGGATTGGGGAAAAGTCCGGCATATTCTTTCCGACGCAGACGGTGTTTTATGGGTCAGTTGCGGCGGCGCCGTCGAAGGCACGAATCCTCTCCAGTCGCTCATCGTGGGCCTAACGCGCTGCCTGCGATCCGAAGACCAGCACAGAAAGGTCGTCACTCTGGATCTCGAGCCGAATCACGGGTCGGGACTCGAGACCGCGGAGCAGATTCGCAGAGTCTATCATCATGTATTCGGTCCACATGGTCCGCCAGCCTCTGCCTTGCCGGAATTTGAATACGCCATCCGCAATGGAGAGATACTGATTCCTCGCTTGATGTGCAACGGTCCCGTTAATGAATATGTCCAGGACAGCGTTTCGACCTACCACCCTCGACACGAGCAAGGAATGAAACCAGGCCGTTCCTTGAGCCTGAAGATCCACGAACCTGGGCTTCTCAACACACTCTACTGGGCCGATTCGGAGCGGCACGCACGGAGCGTCGGAGCCGAAGAAGTCCGGGTGGATTTGCAATACGTCTCTCTCAACTTCAAAGACATCATGATCGCCATGGGACAACTAGAAGGGCACACGGCCATGCTGCTGGAAGGGAGCGGCAAGGTTGTCGAGGTTGGTGAGGCACTCCGCCATCAGTACTCTGTCGGTGACTTGGTCTTCGCCACCGATCCAGACGGTGTCGCCACGACCAGCGTCATTAACAAGTGCAACGTTCATCGCATACCCAGGAAGCTGTCAATGGAAGTCGCAACCGCTATTTCTCTCGCCTATGCAACGGCTCTGTATTCGCTGAGGAATGTTGCCAATCTCCAAGAGGGAGAGTCCATTTTGATTCATTCCGGAGCAGGCGCAGTTGGCCAAGCCGCCATCTCCCTGGCTCAATATCTCAACGCTGGCGAAATATACGTCACGGTGGGGAGTGCGGACAAGAGGGCCCTCATAAGAGAACACTTCAACATCCCAGACGACAAGATATTCTCCAGTCGCGGTCTCAGCTTCTACCATCAGATTCTTCGCAAGACAAATGGTCATGGTGTCGATGTCATTCTCAACTCGCTCAGCGGCGAGGCGTTGCAAAAAAGCTGCTCCCTGCTCGCGCCGTTTGGGCGGTTTGTCGAGATTGGTAAGAAAGATGTCATATCCAACGCGAGGCTTGAAATGGCGTCTTTGGAAAGCAACGCCACATTTACTACCGTTGATTTGACGCTGCTTGCCAAGAGGAAGCCTCTTGTTCACCAAGAGCTCTACCGCACCATCTTTGAGCTCGTTGGTCAGGACAGGATCAAAGTTTTGAGCCCTATAACGGTCAATCCTGTCTCCGAGCTGGAGGCTTCTTTTAGGCTGATGCAGGCTGGAAAACACGTGGGGAAACTGCTGCTCCAGTTGAACCCACATATGACAATTTCTGTAGGTGCACATCGTCCCGTCTTAAAAGTTTTTGCTGACTTGGGCTTGCAGGTCCAACCTCCACGGCCACCGACTCCTCGGCTGAAAGGGGATTGCTCTTACCTGGTCGTGGGAGGAACCGGCGGCCTTGGTAGAGCCACAATTAAGCATTTTGCGAGTCTCGGGGCCAAGCACATTTTTACCTTGTCCCGATCTGGTCCCGACAGTCCAATTATGAGAGAACTGGTGGAAGAGATGCGTCTTGCCGGTGTTTGTGTTGTCGTGTTCAAGGGCAGCGTCACAGACACTGTCGCGATTGAGTCGATCAAGGAGCAGGCCAGAGAATTCCCCATCAGAGGTGTTGTCCAAGGAGCAATGGTGCTGCAGGTACGTGCTCAACCGTCTTTCACAACAGTGGAGATTTCTAATGGGAAACAGGACTCTCGCGTGGACAATATGAGCTACGCGCAGTGGCGGGCTGCAATGGAACCGAAAGTTGTGGGAACAATGAATTTGCACCGCGTGTTCGGAGACACTCTAGACTTCTTCATCCTCCTTTCGAGCAGTGCAGGAATCATTGGCTCGTATGCTCAGGGCAACTATTCCGCTGGCAATACGTTTCAAGATTCTCTCGCTCGCCACAGGGCATCGCTCGGTCTGCCAGCTCGCTCCATCGACGTTGGCTCCGTGGAAGGGGAAGGGTACACGGCAAATAACGAAGCGGCCGCGGAATTCGTCTCCCGCCAAGGACTGCGGCCGTACAAGGTCAAGGAGTTCCTGGCCACAATCAATGAGGCGATACGGAATCCCTTTGCATCCGGGCCTTCGGCAGCGCAGCTGATTTGTGGCACGAGGAGAGCCGATCCAAGTTCCCAAGCCAAAGAAGCAGCTCTGCAGCGTCCAGATCCCAAATTCTCCCACATATGGACGAAGCCCCATCGCCAGGCATCTGCCAAGGCTGACTCGAACCATTTCAATATTCAAGCCATGTTTGAATCAGCAAAAACGGCGGATGAAGCCGAAAAGGCGATGCAGGTAGCAATCAAGAAGAAGCTTGCTCATCTGCTTGGCCTGCCAGAAAAGGACGTCAGCACGAATCGCTCCGTTGTGAGCTATGGAGTGGACTCTCTTATTGCGGTGGAGCTTCGCAACTGGATCTTGTCACAGTTGGAATCTCACGTCCAGATATTCGAGTTGATGAGTCCGATGAGTTTCGCCGAGCTGGCCAACACGGTTGCCAGAAGATCTCGGCTTGTGGCGACGGGGCTTTTCGGCGATGTCAAAGTCTAGCGATTGCCAACGGCTTGATTCAACTAGCTAGTCGCTAGGCTGTTTCCTATCAAGAGGGACAAGAAAAAGTAAAGGTCTATTTTATCCAAGCCATTCCATACAATCGTGCCATGTGACACGCTGCCTCTATACAGAAGATGCAAGCAATCTACCCAGCAGCTACTGCATACCGGCAAGCAGTAACAGGAAATTACACTACTACCTACGCAGCGGCACAAATTGTTGTCCTTGTTCTATTCACATGCGCCAATCAATGCTCAGCAGAATGATATCAGCCATTTGGCCGGCTACACGCTTCACCACCACTTGCTATCCGCCGGCACACGTCGAATAACGTTGGATCCGCAGTGCACATCGCCCATTTCAACATGGTGCGTGAACCAGTCGTCAATGTAGCGAACCGTATAACCCGCCTTGGCGTAGGCCTCGTCCGCCGCGGCGGCCAGGACATCCCGCCCGTCGATCACGGGCCCCCACGGGTTCGGCGCAATGACGTGCTTCCTGTCGACGACGACGCTGTTGATAATACCGGGGTACAGCGCCAAAACGGGCCACGTCTCAAACTCGGACCAACTGAAGCTCTGGCGGCGCTCTATACTCGCTCCATTCCCGTCTGCCAACTTGGTAGGCGGCGTACCGGCGTCCAGCGCGTTGGGGGCCTTGACGCGTACGGCGCGACGGGACATGCGTCGCGTTTCGTTGCCGGCCTTCTTCTCATAAGTCCAGATGTCGCTCACGAAGCGGCCCCAGGGGTCCGGCTCGAGGTGGTACAGACACGGCAGGCGGATGACGTCGGCGTCGGTCAGGCCCGTCTCGCGCTTGAGAATCTCGATGTTGCCGGCGATGTGGGCGGCGCTCTTGTTCTGCACGGCAGCAAAGTCGGTGCTGTCGAGCACCTCGTCAATGGTGGTGGTGACGTGCCACTTTTCGGGGTCGGCGGGCGAGCGAGGGCGCGAGACGGCCTTTTCTTTGCCGTGGCCTGCCTGCCGCGCCTGCCGGAGGATGTCGAGGCCCGCGAGCGGATCGTCCGCCATTAGAACCCAGCCGAGCTTGTTGTCGGCGGGGAGGAACTGCAGGAACTCGTCGACGTGGCCGACGGAAAGCCACGACGTGTTGAGCTCAATGGGGGCCTGTGTCTCCTGGGCCTCGAGAAAGGCCATCATGTGCGGCTTGGTCTTTTGGGTGCCCATGACGGCTCGCCCTGCGGGATAGGCCTTGCCGCGGTGCGAGTACGGGGGTATCGTCTCGAGGTTTCCGGTAGAGTCGACGGTGTCGCCGCCCGCGAGGTGCTGGACGGCTCCGACGGTGTTGGAGCGCAAATCCTGAAACACCTTGCGCCCGGCCTCGCGGTAGTCCTGCGCCGACCGCAGCATAATGTGCAGGCTGACGGGGCCGTTGGGCCCGGGGATGCTCATGTAGCCGGGCTCGAAGAAGTCCTGCGTCCACAACTCGCCGCAGCCTTCAAAGGCGTGCATGGGGCTCTCGAGGCCCAGGGAGGAGGACATGTCGCCGAGCTCCTGGACGAAACGCTCGTGGCCCGAGTCCCTGCCTTCGGGGCCGTCGACTTGCGATGTCAGCAGCTGCTTGGCGGCCTGGCCGTGGTGCTGCGTCAGGACGGGCGCCACGCGGAGTGCCACCGAATCCCGGGCTTCGTGTCCCCCGTCTTTTACCGTGAACTCGACCGTGGCTCGGCCGTCCCACCCGCCGGGGCGGCGGACGTCGCGCGCATCAATGCCAAGCTCGAGACCTGCTTTGAGCTCTGCGGCCTTGAAGGTGTAGTTTGACGTGATGAACACCCACTGGCCACTGGTTTGCTGTTTGTGGAACAGGCGAACCTTGGAGGCGGCCAGCATGCGGGTCACGGCGACGGTTCCCGTGGCCGAGTTGCCAAGCCCGGGGATGGGTCGAGTACGCAGAGGCGCCAGGTAGGTTGCGTTGCGGAGTATGTCGTCCGAGGCGTCGTTGCAGGCCGATATCTTCCTGTCCACCTCGTTTATCTTTTGGTAATCCGGCCCCTTGAACAAGTAGTCGTAATAGAGGGCTCTTTGGCTTTGATCGAGGCTGTTGTACCACTGTTCCATGGATCCCCCGTCTCCAGGCATGTCGGGAAGACTTGGGTCGGGGACCGGCGTCTCGGGCGGCTCTGTCGCGTTGAAGATGTCGCCCAGCTTGCTGGCACAGGAGCCCGTGATTTGGGATGAGCATCGGCGGTCCGTGTCGACGATATTGGCTAGGAAGAGGGCGCCGGCATCGTCTGTCCACGTCTCTTTGCCGACGGTGTCGGTTTCGCCCGCGACATCGACCCTGCCGTCGCGGTTCGTGTCCGCCAAGATGGACACGGTAAAACTTGGGCTGCTGGAGGCCGTGGGGTTCTGGCCTGCCGCGGCGGCACGTTTCTTGAGCGGGCCTTGAGGAATGGCACTGGCCAGGGGCAACACGACTAGAATGAGTGAAGGGCGCATTGTGAGGAAAAGATTGCCAGTCCGCGGCCTGCCAGAAGAAGGTTGCGGCCATCTTCGTCTGATGTACTATGCGGGTTTAAATACAAAGCCCGACGTGCACTTGATTCTCCTCCATGCCACTGACTACCTCCGCAGGTTCTACGCGTCTAGCAATGACTCGTGAGCCCTTTGATTTTTTCAATACTCGGTGTCACGTTCACCTGGGCAGATGTTATAACCGTGGTTAGCCCATGACCTATAGCAACACAGGCTCCATGTATAGGTCCATGTATAGGTCCACGTATAGGTCCACGTACATATAGGGAACATTAATGACTCGTGGGCACGGAGGCGGGACTTGGTTAGCCAGAAGTATGTTGGGAACGAACAACGGATGACATTGCAGACAAGACATGCAAGGGCGGAGGGCTCCCGAGCTGGCGGCCGGTGTACATGGTATAACGCTCAAGGACAGATTGTGAGACGTTTATTCGGTGGCGGCGTTGCATCAGCATTAACGGCCCGGCCTGTTATAGTGAGCAGTACCCTTGAGTCAAGTTTATTAATAAATAGTCTGGTAGCTATTAAACCACAAGGCCAATCTCCACCATGGCCTTTCTGGTCTGGTAGCATGACACGGATGGCAACCGACATTAGACGCGCAAGGCAATTACGTAGTCGTGGGCTATATAACCTTTTTCATATGTGAATTATAGCGGCTTGACGGCTTGACAACCTGATGCAGCCTCACATGGCTATCCGAAGCGAGATGAAGCCCCTCTGTAAACAGGCCACACGGACAGCTTTGAAAGTTGGAATTCATTATTATTAATTCATGGTCGATTGGAGACGTCATCTACTTAGCAGCCTGGCCCATGACAAGAATCCTGCAATGGCGGTGTTCGTCCTGGTGGACGGCGGTGGCCTTATCTTAAGGCAGGTTATTGTAGAGACGTTAATATCGTAAAGCGGCGTCGAGAGCAATCCCCGCCGGCCGTCGCAGTACCCGACAACGTCCTTCGTGTCTGGGTGTCCTGCCAGCCGGCTTGCGCGGAATGGAGCAGCCGGTGAACATTTTGGCATCTAAGGCGCTCCCAAACAGGTCATGTAGAAACCTGCCGCTCATGGACAGCAGCGCCGCCGCCGCCGCGTGCACCGCCACGGGGGCCGTTCAAGACGGCGCCGGCCCGTGCCGTGTCGGGGCTAGCGCGGACCACCACCAACCACGCTGACGGCCGCGCGGCCACTTTTCTCGCGGCTCTGGCCATGTTCTACTACCTAGGTTTGCTGCTGTGAGTCGACGCCGCCGGGGCACGGGCACGCCTGCTTCCGAGGCTTTGGGGCAGAGTGCAAAACAAGGCGTCACAGTGACTTGCGGGAACGTTGTGCGCAGGGTCGAGTGGCAAGTGCACGGTATTGCTTGTAAGCGTTGAATATATATGCGAGTATGCCTCGAGTGTTATAGATAGATGTCTGCGCAAACGTAGCAAACCACCAGGCCCTTCATATCGGACCCAGCCGGCCCCACGATACATCGTCCCGACTCCCCAGCAACCCACAACTATGTACTTCATCGGATCCCAATTCCCACCTGCAAGTCCCCGACGCCAAATGTCGACCTGGACAAGAATATTGACCTGTAATGTGTATCCCCTCTAGAGGCCCTTCGGGGACCCTGCAGCCGGCCTGTTACACCAGACATCACGGCAGCCGTAGCCACAGCCTCCGCAGCTCCTCAAACATGGGCGTCCCCAGCCCCGTCACCGGATCCCACCCCCGCACGGCAGAGAACCCCGACGAGCCGCAGTTCGGATTCGACCCGCGCGTCACGTCCGTCAGGGCCGCGGGGTTCTTGTACAGCGCGGGGTTGATGAACCCGACCGTGGTCTTGCCCGCCCGCGCCCTCTCCTGGTTCACCAGCGTGATGACGGCGCTCCACAGCGGCGCGGCGAGACTCGTCCCGAACACGTGCTCGTCGGTGCCGTTGGTGAAGGCGCGGAAATTGGCCCCGTTGGCCGCGACATCGGGGATCCCGCGGCCCGCGCGGTTGTACACGCCGCCGCCGGCGCCAATGTTGGACGCCTCCTCGTCGGCCACGTAGGAGGGGTGGCCCGGGTCGTGGCGCGCCAGGTACGACTGCACGGCGGCCCGCTGGTACTCGGGCACGGGGAAGTAGTTGGAGAAGCCGCCCCCGCTGGCGAAGAGCTCGGCGCCGGGGAGGGGCGTCTGGAGCGCGGCCTCGGGGTCGCGCACCGTGGTGTTGGGGTTGAGCTGCGTGGCCCCGACGGCGGTGAGGTACGGGCACGACACGGGGTTGCCCGGGTTGTAGACGGTGTTGGTCTGGCCGGAGCCGTTGAGGCAGGCGTTTGCGCCGGGGCCGATGCCCACGCCGTAGTCGCCCGACGAGACGAGGACCGTGGTGCCCTGCAGCCCGAGCTTGAGGAACTCGTTGCACTGGCGCTGCATGTACTTTTTGGGCACGTCGAGCTCGCTCTCGCCGTAGGATATGGAGATGACGGGCGCCGCCTTGTAGGCTCCGCACATCTCGGGCTGCTTGTA